CACACACACACACACACACGCACACACACACACACACACACACAAACACGAGCACACACAAACACGCGCACACACAAACACACACACACACAGTGCATACTCCGAAAAGGGGGAGAGAAAAGAGCCAACACACGCATTTCTTGTTGTCTTCTCCTCAGTGTCTATCTGGGATATACTGGACGTTCTTCGGAAGGTGGACACCTCTAAGGACAATTGCGTGAACCGCATCTTGTGCAAACACATAGTGGAGGACATCAAGGACCTCAACTCTATCTGCTCTGACCGCATCAGCATCATGCATGCCAGAATACATCCGGTTATGTGAGTTCAGATTAATTTCAATTGGATTGGATTTGATCTGAGGTTTTTTTTGGTTTGTTTGTTGTTGTTTGTTTGTTGTTGTTGTTTTTTTTTTGGGGGGGTGAGTTGCCGTTCTGTTTTTAAAATCTTGATGTCCGCATTCCATCACGTGAGCTTCATTGCCACTAAATTTTTTCTTTAATGTTTAGATTACTTACGTTACTTTTTGGCTCATAGTGTATCACTCTTACGTTTTAATGAGTGTTAATGGTACCAGCAACAGCAACTGTTATTATTGCCATTAGTAGTAGTAGTAGTAGTAGTAGTAGTAGTAGTAGTAGTAGTAGTAGTAGTAGTAGTAGTAGTAGTAGTAGTAGTAGTAGTAGTATCAGCAGTAGCTGCAGCAGCAGCAGCAGCAGCAGCAGCAGCAGCAGCAGCAGCAGCAGCAGCCGCAGCAGTATTGCTTGAATAATGTGATGCACTAAAGAGCACTTTGAATATATGTAGGCAGTGTTTACCTTGGTACATCGTGATTTTCATTGTAGGAATCACTTAGTCTTCAACTAGAGCGTATTGAGTTTTTGCAATAATGCGGTGGGTTCCTTTTGCGTCAACGGGAATAATTCTAGCTTAACGGTTTCTTGTTATTGTTGTTGTTATTGTTTATTACATTTAGAATGATAAAATCGAGACTGGACTGCAAAACTATTATCTTCCTCTTATATTTCAGGTGGCTTTTCCTGGAGACTCTGGGCTTTTTCAGTTTTCTTGGCATTCTGTTGCTGACAGCTTTCTCGTACCGAATGGAGCTGCTTATGTGTATCGTCACCGTCTTTTCCATATCGCTGCTTTGTTACGTTGTGTCCGACTTGGATTCTCCCTTTTCTGGATTTTTCCGAGTCAATACGAAAGTGATCGAAGACTTACTGAGTCGGCTAACTGCTATGTATGAAATGGCAAAGCTTGGACAGGTGGAGATTTTTTATCCTAACGTTCGAGCCACGCACACGGGGATATAGCCATTTGTTGCAAAGACGTTTTACCCAAAAAACGGCTCAATTCAGAAACTGTTTGGGGGGGGGGGGGGCTGTTTTGTCCAATCCTGTCAGGGCCAGTAAAGGTTGTGTTGGAAACGATCGCAACAGACAAACGGAGATACCCAACGCATTCACTTCTCCTTGGAGGATCGAATTCACGACGTGTGCAAGCAGGGCGAAGGGAAGAACTCTACCTGTACGACACAGATGCTGTTGAGATATAGTCAGGAAATAATGCTGAGCTGAAGTAATCTGTGAACTGTTGTTTAATACGTTTTTGTTCACACAAAGTCATATTATTCACTTTTGTAATTTACCTTCTCAGATAAGCGTGTATAGTAATTGATTATAATTATGGAAAGTGTGTTCTTTCAGCTGCTTATAATGTCATATTCTTGCAGACAAACAATGATTTTCCTAACTTACATATTGAGATCATCATAATCCTGCTTTTTCCATGTCATTTTTTTCTGTTCTCTCAATCAAAAACAGAAGCTGCTAAAACGTATACTTATTTACTTTTACTCTTTCATCCTCTGTTGCTGTTAGTGTCGAGGGGAGATGCAGTTTTCTATGGTAGGCCAGCTCTGCAGCTCTCTCAATTGAGATATTATAATTTCTAATGGTTATTTTGACTCCTTCAATACAACTTTTGCGTGGCCTTCCTCTTCCTTTATAGCTTAAGTGCTTGGCTCTCAAGGCTGGCTGGTTAGGTGACATACGTAACAGGTGGCCAAACCATTTTATTCCTTGTTTTGCTACGAAATGCTGACAGGACTCAGTGCCAATAGCTGCTCTTACTTCTTCATTTTTTTGCCAGTCTCGTCTTGTGATGTTAAGAGGGGGGGGGGGGGGGGGGGGGCTACACCTGGAGGCTATCCCGCTTATTAGTCGACCGAAATTTACCAAATTTCGCACATATAACAAGCATAGTAAGATGTTTTTAAACCTGCAATCAAATTTATAAAAAAGTTTAGTTTCCATGGATACGGCGGCCATATTGGATTCTTAAAACTTGCTTTACGCTATGAATACTCTTTTATTTTTCATGGAAATTGATTGTTTTTTCCCATGTATGTTAGCAAACATTAGATCTAAACATGTATCTGTTGTTTTTTTCCTAAACGAATTACAAAATCATTAATGAATTTTTTCCGGAGGTAGTATTCAAGTTTGCGAAAAAACCCTAAAAATCCACACTCCGGTCACCACCTACAAAAATCTTTTCGTTATATCAAAAATTCAATTGCCAAATTTTAGTATGACATCTTCTCTTCATTCTGTGAAAATTTCAGGAAGATTGGATTTTAAAAAATGGTGGAGTTATTTTTAAAAGTTTAGAGATAAATCGCGTTTTGAGAAAACGGCGGATAAAGAAAAATAAAATAAATAAAATATTGTCTTTACGAGGAAATGGTGATGACAAAACATGCACGGTATGAGGAGAAATAAGGCCGTTAGGGGTTCTTATTCGATTATTTGATTGTAGGAGAGGCTGAGACAGCCTAAAAAAGCCTAGAACTCAAATTCCATAATTTTGAGCCGAATCGGGACTTTGGGGGTGTAGCCCCTCCCTCCTCCCCCCCCAACCCCCCCCCA